CATTTTAGGAATTTTAAAAAATAGAGTAATTCCTCTTTAAAAAATGGTAGCAGAACCAGAGATGGTGGCACACACCTTGTAATCCCAGCACTTGGGGGCTGAGGCAGGAGGACTGCCCTGAGGCTGGACTATGTAGTGGGTTCAAGGCCAGCCTAAACTACATACATAGCAAGACCCTATCTAAAAAAAAAAAAAATCAGAAGCAAAACTGGGGGTGTAGCTCAATGAAGAACTCAAGGACTGGGTTCAATACCTACATCAGAAAAATACTACAGAAAAACCCCAGCAACAACAGGTACATTAACATTTTTTCGCATAAGTGATTTTCTAAAATTTTAAAATATTTATGGTGTCAGTATTAAAAGAAAATCAAGTTACAAAAGTTTCAATCCAAACAGAATAAAGTCTAATGTCTAAATATTTTTAGGCAACATTAAGTTTAGGCAACATAAGAGATACCTAAACTGTTTTAGGCAACATAAATAGTTCAGGCACTATAACTTGTTTTTTAATTCATGTAGAAAGAGATACACCACTTGTGACTACAGGCTAATTTGTCACTGTGCAAGGTTTTATCAGGTTGAAAGCTACCATTCACTCATGTTCCAATATTTGAACATATGGACTTGCCGGATAGATCAGTTGTTTAAAGTGCCACTTGGGCAAATGCAGTCAGGCGCATAGGACCGCGGTTCGATTCCCAGCTCCAATATTTGAAGGTAGTATACTACATGAAAGCTCTTTGTTTATTTATTTATTTAATTTTTGGTACCGGGGATGGAACTCAGGACCTTCTGCTTGCCAGGCAGGCGCTCATGCTACTGAGCTAGCTCCCTGGCCCTATAAAGCAATTTAAATTAACCATCTACTTTTTAGTCATCAATAAAGTATTACAAAAATTGCCAAACTTATTTTAACACAATTACATGACATCCAACATTTCAAAAATTTGCTAGGAAAACTCTGCAGAATATTTCAAAAGCTTACTAAAGATGTACTGCAAAAACTTCTACAAAGGCACAGGTTTATCCTACCACCTCTTTCCAAAGTTCCCCAAGTCCTTTTAGGGAAGCAAACGTAACTTTCCCGGAAGGTCAAAGAGGCCTCTCTGAATGTCCTAGCATGATCTGCAAGCTCATGACAGCTGCAATTCCTTCCTTGT